CCTTCCTTCCAAGGAGTGGCTGGTGGGTTTGAACCGCCAGCCTTCTGGCTAGCAGTCAAGTGCTTTAGCCACTATGCTACCAGAGCTCCTATGGAAATGAAATTGAAATACAGTCTCAAGAAATCTAGAAAACAGACTGTAAAAGGCAATTTATTCTCTTACAAACTCTTTATACCTCTGTCTCTTCTTCCTGAAACATTAATGAAGTAAGGAAGTAGAAATTCTAGACAAAAGCATTAGAGAAAAAAAATCTTATCATAAAAAAAGAAAAAGCTACCTTCATCACATATATTTAAGAAGGCATAAAAGTTATCTATAATTTTCCCTTTTAAAAAAACATATGAAATGCTTCAAACTAAACTGAGATGTCCTGAGGCCTCTTAGCCAAGGAGCCTCACTTATTCTTTACTTACTAACATAATCATAGCTGTTATTTTATATTATTTTCCTATTATATGAGAAAATGGGTAGAAGATGTTAACATACAGTGTTTAATACAAACTAGTGATTTTTATATTATTATTAACCAAAGTTCATTCTCAACGATGGAAATGATTTTCCAGAACGTGTTCCCAATTTCTAACTGAGGAAATATTCCCTGGGAATTGACTCCAAGCTTACACACTGTTGGGTCAGCCTTTAGATAGAAGCTGACTAAAACAACATGATGGTTAGTTTTATACCTGGGAATGTATGGCTCTGCAGGAGGAGGGGGAATGTAGAGATCCTGGAGGGCAGAACTGTCTCTTTTGGTGGGTGTACTGATGGTGCTGGAAGGCGTGGCGACGCTGCTTGTGGGACTTCTAGGTATAAGAGGCTGGTTAAAATGAAAAAGAAAATACATACGCACACAACACACAAAACAACAACAACAATGACACATAGTTATTTAAAAATGATCTATTTCTGCCAAATTTCTGAACTTGGCTGAAATTAAGAAGCATGTTATTTAGCACATAGGTAGCCCTTTGAATCTCCAATAACAAAGCACTTCTTATACAAGAGGTTTCCTCTTACTTCCCAACTCACCTTATTTTGTGGTATAACCACCTAAAGCTACTTCTAAGGTAGCAATACCATGCAATGTTGCATAATGGGGAGATTTATCTCACAGTCAGGAGCTTATTTAAATTAAATTTACTCTGTCAGAATTCAACCAATAAGGCCTCTGAAATAAGGATAATAAAAAGTACCTCTCAAAAGAATTAGCTCACACACATCCTGATTGATATTTGAGAAAGGTAAGTCAGATCTTTTCCCCAAAAAAAGACAAACTATACTCCTAGGTTAGCAGAATGTTGAAGATTCTCAGAAAATGCTATTAAAACTGGAGTATGAAAGGCTAATAAGAGAATTTTCTCAAAAATGTACTTTTTCTTGTAAATAGAAACATAGCTATCTTCTCAAAGCCATTTTATGGTTCATCTTCAAAAGTTTGGTGATCAAAGTCACATAATCATTTCATTTTTCATAAGCACATGTATTTATCATTATTTAATTTCCAGTTGCCTATCTATAGATCTCATTTTTATGCCTATACTGAATCATATTTTAGGAGATAATGTATATTCTGTTTTAAGTAGTACATCAGGATGCATTTAAGAGCATTCCCAATTCCAAGCTTAATAGCATTTAACATCGATCACGTAGTTCAAGAAATTATTCTAAAGTGAAACTATAATTCACAAATTTTCATTTTATCTTACATATTTTACTGATTAGCTACATACACAATTAACACATTACAAGTAAGATTTTTAGTGCAATTGCAAACCAAAAATAATGATCACAAAATGAACTGTATCTTCACATGACAAGATGTCATTTTAGCCAGTACAAAACCCTTTTAGCACATCTAATAGACCCAAAGTTCGACTATTTTAACAAGTATTGCTGGGCAATCAAAAATGGCACATTACAACTATTTTATATTGTGACAATACCTTTGTACAAATAAACAAAATTTGTCCAAAAAGCCAGGCATAAGTACAATGTAAAGTACAATATAGGTCACTGGGGTAGGCTACATAGTGTATGATTCAGTTCATGGTTTTGACCTTCCTTGGTTACACAGCTCACTTGAATAGCTTGATATCACATATCCTGACAAAATGATGGTTAGGTTTTAATCTATGTGATATAGAGATTAAAGAAAGAGAGAGAGAAAGGAAAAAGAATAGATAATTTATTTTAGGATTCTACAATATTTCATTTCATATGATGCCACTCCTCAGAAGGAAGGTTGGTCAATCTACTTCCCTAGTGATACTGCCTCAGAAACCCAAGGAGGGGTCGCTATCAGTCGGATCTGACTCGATGGCAGTGAGTTTGGTTTTCAAGGAGCTCTGGTAGCATAGTGCCTAAGGCACTTAACTGCTAACCAGAAGGCTGGCGTTCAAACCCACCAGCCACTCCTCGGAAGGAAGGTTGGGCAATCTATTTCCGTAGTGATATTGCCTCAGAAATCCAAGGAGGGGTCACCATGAGTCGGGTCCAACTCGATTGCACATAACAACACAACAACAACAACAAAATTCAAAAAGCTTTACATGTTAATTTTTAAGACATGACAGTATGTAGTAAAAACTATTATGTTTAACTATGCTGATTTTGGAATAGTATCCAGTTAAACCATGTGTGTCTTTTGGAAACAAAACTTTTGGCAATGAGATATACTGAGATTATAAACATAATCACAGGAGTCACCCATGTGGATGAACACCATGAAGTTTTAAGAAATAAAGAACTACATTTTCTTCTAAAAATGTATTTATGCTTCTACAGTCCTTGAATGATAGATTCTTTAGATGAAGTATTTCAAAACCCCCCCAAAAGTATGTATGTATGTATGTGAGTGTGTGTGTAGTTACTGTGATGTGACTGTTTATAATTGTTTCCCTATGTCAGGACATCGTACTATTAAATACAGATGACATTAAACAGAAGTCTGGCAAAACTTTTATCACAAAAGAATAGAAATATATAGTAAATAAAATATCCACTACACAGTACATTATTTCCAATACTATTTAACAGATGCACTGTGAGAGAAAAACTTACATTTAGCATAATTTTTAAACACACTAATATTTCTCTTATTTTAAAATATCCTAATACTTATTACAGGAGCTCTGGTAGCATAGTGGCTAAAGCACTTGACTGCTAACCAGAAGGCTGGCGGTTCAAACCCACCAGCCACTCCTCGGAAGGAAGGTT